CTGTAATTAAAAAAAATACGTATAAATAATACTTCTGTTTTGTGCACATACATTATATTACTTTGCTATCCTAGAAAAGTAAATAAATTGAAAATTAGTTTAAACATAATTTATGAAAGACAGAAACATCACAACTTTAAAGTGACTTTTATCACACTTTAATACAACTACCTTGTCAAATTAGAATTTTCAAAGGAAAAACTCAATTTTCAGGTCAAAATTATTAAATAAAATTTTTCCTTGAGTCACTGTGCATTTTGCAATAGAATTTATAAGAAATCAGTATGTTAACAAGAGGGAATCATAACTATACACCAAAGGTAACACTTCTATATAGCTCCAAAAATCACAATGCTGTTGATGATTCTTCACCTATTGTAACTTTAAGAAAATGCTTTGTTCTAAAACATTTCAAAAACAAAGAATGTAGAATTATAAAGCAAAGTTAATAAAGATAACAGTAGGAAAGTTCAAGCTTGAGTCCCTTCAAAACATTAATTTCATGTTCCTTATCACCCAGAATATTTGTTATTAAAAATCTTACTTGTTTCATGACTGTTTTCACAGATAAAGGTTAGCAAAATTGTTAGTATTTTTATTTAAACTAACATGAAATATAACTTCATAATAATGAGTGATTTCTAATAATTAATAATTTTTAATTTTTCAATGGCTTGGGGTAGACTAACCCTATTTAAGAATTATATTACCTAGCTGCACTATCTATATTTATAAAATAATTAGTCTAATTATTTGCTTTTTTGGCTATCATAGCTACAGTTTTAAAATTAGGGCTTACTACCATCTTACCAAATGGTACTACCATATTTTCAGAAGATACTGAAAAATTACGGCAGTGACATGAATACTCAGTCCAGGATGACCACATATAGACATTTTTATTTGTATTGAAACATCCAGCCACAAAAATCAGCATATTTTGACTTATTTAATCACAATAAAAAACTATTATAAGAAATATCAAATGAATATGAAATTTTCTATCATCCCTAAAATTAAAATATAAATACTAACATTTAAAATTATATTATGGAAGCATAGTGACACATATGTCAATGTTTTATGTCTCACTGGGTAGGTCAAAACTTGTGATTGTTGTGTCACTGACAAAGCACTGAAGTAAGCTATCCTTGTTCCAAACATTAAAATGGGCAGGCTAAAAAAATGTGCTAAAATTTGAGCAGGACATTTAGTTGTTTGAGGTATTCTATGAGAGATTTCATTAGCTAATTTTTAGCAAGCATCTCTAATGCTATCTTTAAAACACAAATTTGGATAAGAATATTTTAAAGAAATACAGCCATGCATTTTAGGCAATTTTGTTCTGGAAGGTAGCAAGCAGAGAAACTATAAATGCAAATTCTAAACCAAGTCACCTCATAAATATATTTATACATATCTCACTCACACACACACACACACACACACACCCCTCATTTTATTTCCATACACACAATTTACAGTAATACAAGAAATTTGTTTAATTATAATTTGTTTATATAATCATTTCACTTAATGGAAAATAGTCCAAGTTTTCAAGAACTTAGAAAGTTTGAGAAATAGTTTTCTTGGGAATGTTAAGCACAAACTTCATATTCCCTGATTAAGTGGATTCAGTTTCAAGAAATAGACTGAGAAGTATTTTTATAATATTTGTTAATTTTGCTCACAGCTTCTTTTTGTAGAAAATTATTTGTCTGAAAAGTTAATGTGTTACAATTAGAAAGTTAAACCATGATATATACTATACCAATTATACAGATGAATTACAATCATCTTTATTTTTATCCTGTACACATGAAATACTGAGAAAATGCACTTTTAAGGATTTAAGTATCTGAATGTTAAATATGATTGTATTTTTATGAATAAGCAATTCTTTTCAAAATGATAACCTTTTTGTAATATTATTGAAGACATTATGGGCCGGGTGCGGTGGCTCACGCCTGTAATCCCAGCACTTTGGGAGGCCAAGGTGGGCGGATCACGAAGTCAGGAGATCTAGACTATCCTGGCTAACACGGTGAAACCCCGTCTCTACTAAAAATACAAAAAATTAGCCAGGCATGGTGACGGGCGCCTGTAGTCCCAGCTACTCGGGAGGCTGTGGCAGAATAGCGTGAACCCGGGAGGTGGAGCTTGCAGTGAGCTGAGATCGCGCCACTGCACACCAGCCTGGGCGACAGAGCAAGACTCCGTCTCAAAACAACAACAACAACAACAACATCATCATCAACAACAACAATAAAAACCAGACATATATGTACTGGCAAACTGCAGTGCTTTAACGTATTTTTAATGAAGAAAAATGTATTAATAGGCCAAGACTTTCAAAAGACCTAGTCTTATGTTATTTTAAGTTATAAGTAATCATTTTTGTTTTGTTCAATGTAATGATTTCCTGTGTGATAACCACCCTGAAGCAGAACAGCACAGAAAAGGTTAATTATAGGCTGATAATAAAAGGTAATGAAATTTTATTAATAATTTTATAACATCCACTCTATGAAATGTGTGAAGATATTAATTTCTACTACATGGCAAATCAGTCTCACATTATATATGTTTTTTCACAGTTTTTTTTTTTCTTTTTAACTCTAAAACTATTATCTAAAACAACTTGCACATGTGGGTATTGCACTTACATTATTGAACATCAGCTTTTTTTTTTTTTTTTTTTTTAAAAAAAAACCCTTTAATTATTTTTCCTTCTTTTCAATACTCAAAGTTTTATTATTTATTTATTTATTTATTTTATTTATTTTTTGAGAGACGGAGTCTTGCTCTGTCACCCAGGCTGGAGTGCAGTGGCGTGATCTCGGCTCACTGCAACCTCCTCCGCCCGGGTTCAAGCAATTCTGCTGCCTCAGCCTCCCAAGTAGCTGGGATTAAAAGGCTTGTGCCACCACGCCCATATAATTTTTGTATTCTTTTCGTAGAGAGGGGTTTCACTATATGTTGGCCAGGCTGGTCTCGAACTCCTGACCTCAGGTGATCCACCTGCCTCGGCCACCCAAAATGCTAGGATTACAACCACGCCCGACCAATACTCAAAAACTTTGAAACAATATATAATTCGAAGTAGTGTTAACTTTTAATGACAGTAAACACCTTGCAAAAATATCCATATCTTTGAAAACTGAAGAATTATATGACAATGTCTATCTTTATATTAAAGGTGCTTTTATGTAGTTAATACCTTCTCCTGAATTTTAGTGTTTAACCATTTCAAAGAATCTTAAATAAAATAATCTGTCAACCAGAATCAATGTTTAATTAAATATTGATGTGGCCCCAAATTTTGTTGGCAAGATTAAAAATCTAAAGATGTGTTATGACTTAAGAGCAGACTTAATGTTTGCATCTTAGTAATTACAATATATAGCATTTTCTAATTTTAGGCAATACGCTATTCTGTATAAGACTACCAAATTTAGAAAATTAATGGAAACATAAACATAAAAAGTTTTCAAAATTTAATAAAAGTAAATAATAGCTTACACAAGGCATTTATCATCCAATTTTTATTTTTGACAAAAGAACATGAGAATCCTCTTTGCCTTACACTGTCTTTTTTTTTCTCTGAAGAATTAAAAAATATATTTATATCTATTTGCATACAATATTAATCTAATATGGGCAGACATAAGAAACAGACTCTCTGAAAAGAAGTTGAGATAAAAAACTGAAATTCAGTTAAATAATATTACAAGGAGAGTAGTGTTATATTTACATTTTAAGTGTCGGGCCAGAGTTACGGAAAAGTGAGACAGAAAAACATGGAAGCTTTGAGGTGGTGGATAACTGACTACTGGTGGGAAAAAACAGAGGAGAAGGAAAGATAATTATGTAAAGTAGATTATTTTCTCTTACTTCTTAGATAAAGGCATTTACCAAAGCAATGTCTGTACATTGATAGTATTTAGCTTCCAACTGAAATGACAAATAGCAAATTCTAACTGTGTACATGGATTCATTTTCACTGGTGAAGTCTGTTAATGTGCTGGCTGAAATAAATATACATATTCTTATTTCTAAAGAATTGGGAGAAAAGAACTGATCTTCAATGGCATACAAATTATTTGGTATAACATGTATAAAACTAAATCAGATATGTTCTTGACAGTTACAAATCGGATTTCCCTTCAGAGTTATGATCATATTTGCTAGCATCCACCTAATCATTTATAAATGCTTACTGAATGGCCCAAGCCCTGTGTTGAAAGCTGGAGATAAAGGATATATATGACACTGTTCCTGCCTTTAAAGAGCTTATAGATGTAGAAAACGAGTGTGTATCAGTGCAGGAGTCTTAAAGGTGCTGGCACAGAAGTATATAAAGGTTATAAAGGAGACACAAAGTTTAACTGGAAAAAGAAAGAATAGGTAAGAAAATCATTGAGAGATGAAGATATTTCCCTAATGGTCTTTCACATATGTGTAATATCCGTACACTCTTTTTTCAGAACCAAATATTTCCATGCATTTGGTCACTGTTATTTCTGTGTTGGACAGTTCCTGTTTCAAATCTAAACCCATTTTAGCAGTGATGAACTGTTTCAATAATTTTATTTATTTATTTATTTTTGGAGAGGAGGGTCTCCCTTTGCCACCCAGGCTGGAGTGCAGTGGCACAACCATAGCTGCAGCCCCGAACTCCTGGGCTCAAGCAATCCACCTGGTTTAGCCTCCTGAGTAGCTGGGATTACAGGTGTGAGCCACTGTACTCAGCTTAAAACTACTACTTTTAAATTAAAAGAATCTTTACTTAAGTATTCCTTATTCTAGACTCACAACTTATTTGTTATATCAAAAAAAGAGAAAGATTAACAATGTAATTATACTAATTATCCTAGCATCAACTGTGATTCAGAACAAAAGTAATAAAGTTACAAGTTCTCTATTTGCAATCACAAAATAACTTCTGGAAGAATCCTATGAGTTTTAAAAATACCACATAAATCGATTTTAACATTGAT